AGTCCAGAAACAGAGGACCCTAGGACCATCAAGGGAAAAGAGTACAAGTGGAATGCGGGACCCTATCCAGAGAAGCAGTGACACCAGAGATAGAGGCAGAGATGGGGACATGGAGAGAGGGAGCAGCTGAGGGGAAGAGCAGAATGTACCCTTTGGAGGTGTAAATTATTATATATGCCTGAATGGGTTTTTTGGTTTTTAAAAAAGCTTAAGTGGATAGAGAAAAATACTGGTATCTGATGGTACATGGAGGGGATTATAATCATTGTAATGAAACAAGGTGTATGATTTGGTGAATGTAAAACTGATGATCTGCCCTGTAAACTTTCACTCAATCCACAATAAACACCTTAAAAAAATTTTTTTAACCCCCCAAAAATAAAAAAGACAGTTATGTGAGTAGTTGCAGTTGGCCATTGTTTCCTTGGTAATAAGAGAATGAAATCTCTTGATCCTGAAAATTCCTGTGCCATTGATTTCACTTGTTCCTTCTGTCTGTGTGATACAGGTGGTTGGAGACCTTATGGTTCGAATCCAACGTATTCAAGATTTTACTCCCAAACTTCTGTTGGTCAGAAAGCGGTTACTTGGTTTGGAACCTGAAGGCCCTATGTAAGTCCGTTTTCAACCTTAAGTTTTAGACAAAACGTAATGATCTGCCGATACCTTGAGTTGATGTGCTGTCTGTTCTCCCTTTGCTAGTGTGGACCACATCACATTGCTCGAGGGTGTGATTGTGTTGGAAGAGTTCTGTAAGGAGCTGGCTGCCATTGCGTTTGTGAAGTACCATGCTTCCTCTACACCCTAAGGAAGCAGCACCTGTGAAGTAATGAGAAGGACAAGACAGTTGTCTACATTTCTTAAAAAAAGACTCCGTTCCACCCAGCCAAGAGGGAATAAAAAGCCTTTTTCAATAGAAACCTTTGTTATAAACTGAACAGAACCATTCAGAACCTGGTGAATGAACATTCTCAGTAAACTGCTGTACAGTGTTTTCATTGGCTTTACCATAATGGTTCTGTATATAAATTGCACGTCGTGAAATCTGGGATACAATCAAACGAACTTCAGGAAATGAGCATTTCTAATGACTGTGTGAAAAGCTGCAAACTTTCTGATGTCATGACTTTGATATTTCTGTTATTTTAATATCCTTTAGGTGGCAAGGCATTTTGACATTCTCTGGGACTCAAATGCTTCTATTCTTTTTGATTAATGAGTAGCAAAAAAAAAAAAAAAATCATTAATTTTATAACTTTTTAAGGTTAGACTTCTTATCAAACAAAATCCAAAAAGAAATTGTAAATTAGTAAAAGAGTTGAGGAAGCATCAAATGAAGTGAGTTAATTACAGGGTGGTAGTCTAAGACAAACGTGTGTAGAGCATGCTTAACATGCTTCAGCTTTTCTAAGAATAACAATTTAATATGATAAAGGAATTCTTGAAGAATATAATATATATATTTTTTAAAATGTTCTTTTACTGTTTTGTGCACATAACCGTGTTAGTGATTGATTATCATGTCTGGGTCCCAGCTTATTTAAACTCTTGTCAGTTTTGGAACATTGTTAGATTTCTGTTTCATCATCAGTAGTGTTTGCTAAAATACCCAAACCCATTGGTAATCTAGTTGATTTGGGCTCAAGTGACTCTGTAAGGACAGAGTAGAATTGTCACTATGCCTGAGAGGGTTTTCAAGGCTGTGGATCTTTACGGCCACATCTTTCTCCTACAGAGCAGCTGGTAGGTTTGGCTGATGGATTCCAACTGCTAACCTTTCAGTCCCCAGCCTAGTGCTTTAACCACTGTTCCACTGGGACACCTTTTTTTTTTTTAAGTAAACTAGTATTTTGTAAAGTTGATTAACCTGTATTGGGTTGAGAACCTTTCTCTCTCTGAAAGTTGCTTTATGAGTTGCTTTATGCTTTGATTTTCTGATTGAAACCCCTCCTAGTGTCTAGGCAGGGAACTAACACACCATGGTTAGGCCGCAATCAAAATGCCACAGGCCTTCTTAATGTTTACATTTTTGTTTTTTCATTTTGTTCCATAATTGTTTTAAATGATCCTAAGAGAAAAAAAAAAAAAAATCTTTTAAATGTTCTGTTTACATGCTAAAGGATTTTGGTAAATTGGATCTGTGTGCAAGTGGGTATAAATGTGGGAACGTGTGCGTTTAGCAAAGCTGTGCTGTGCGCAGCATGTCTGAACTTGATTTACAAATGGTGTTTGCTGGTTCAATGCGTATTCTTTATTTAAGTGATGTTGATCACTCGTTTTGCTTTCCAGTTTCCAAGTCGAAATACTAAGCAGTAGCACTTTCTTCCCTGTCTCCCCATTCACTGGTGTTTGGGGAACCAGAATCCTGAACTCTCCATCCCGGAAGGGACTATCCCTGCCCCCTCCTAAGAAGTTGCTTTCTGCTGCATGTTTGCATACAAACACTGAATGGTATGGACAAAGCCGAATGGTGTCCACCTGCTAGTTTTGGTGTGTTGGTTTTCTGATTCATTTAGTAGTCATTTTTGCTATTTATGAAGAACAGAATATCAAGAGTATAAATCTTTTCAGTTACAGAATGCATACCACTGTTAAAAAAACAAAAAGGCAAACTGTTTCATAGAATGCAACTCTCCGCTCGTATATTCTAAGGAATGTATTAAGAGAATGAATGAAAAAAAAAAGAAAGTGGGTAATAGTTACTTCCTGTGTGATTTTTAAATGATTTTAATGGAGGGAAAGCATTCTCTATCTTGCTGTGCTTATCCATCAGTTTTATACAAGGGGCACTGTGCATCTCTTCTGTGTGTTAGTGAATTTGAAATAAGGCATTGAGATAATAGATACGTTTTAATGTTTTCACATAATGCTCAGTAGGCATAATAGCAGTGACATGACCTCTCAAACCAAAAATACATTTTGTCCTGGATTTCATGATGGGACCTAAGAACTAATCTATGAGTCCAACCCCAGAAAAGCTTTATCACTTATATTTTTTATGTGTATGCTGCTTCTAAAAATATAATGATCCTAAGTTATTACAATGACATAGCTATTGACTCAGTTAAAGGGTAATTTAAAAAAAATAATAGTTTCTCATATAAAAAGAGATTCTTACGGCTTTTATTCCCCCCATATTTAATTCAGACATAGAGCCAGCACAAGTTCTCCTAGTGAGTCGGATTTGTTAGTGGACTATACTGGCCTGCATCAGTGGTCTTTTTCTCTTTGTCTCTGGGAAGCTGAATGTTTCCATGACTCTGTACTTGTAAAACCATGTAGGATACAGAGTACCACCTCAATAACTGATGAATAAAACAAGTTCCAAACAGAATTTTTACTTACTTCACATTTTTATAATTAGGGATGCACATTTTTTATTTTACTTTTATCTCGAATAGTCTTTGGGTTTAATCTTAATAATGAGCCACATTCTTTACTTGATAGAACTCAAATTTGTCCTTAGCCAGTGATTGTAGTACTCACATCATAACTATGTAATGTTCTCACGATGTATCTGTCTGTGCAATATGGAAGCTATGAGTGATGAGTCAATTCATAGCTTTTGGGTTTGGGGTGGGGTTTTTTTGTACATTACTGTGTGTGTACATATATGTATATATTTAAGGACCAAAATCCTTAGCTTGCTTACACTGTTGCTAGTGTAAAAATTGTTACACTAATTTTACAGGGCACAAATTATAGAATTACTTCATAAATTCATGGTAACATGCTTCATAAATTATTGCATTACTTTACAACTACCATTTAATTATGAAGTTCATAGGTAATGAAGTTACAGTGACGTACTAGAGCCACAAATTATATGATAATTACATTTTGGGTTGTACAGTAAGTCAAAATATGCATGTCATTGCGACACTCAGTGTTAAAACATGATAGATCATCCTATTTCTGGGCCCTGTAAAATAGTGTTACTGTAATATTCTTGTTTTGCCTCCTGCCTTGTTTACATTAAACAGATAATACTTGGTAGATTTTTCTATTGACAATTGTGTAGGTTACTGACAGTGTTACCAGGTCTGGCATTCATGGGCCGGCATGAAGAAACGTCAGAAGCAGATCGTACACCTACTCACTTCTTCAAAGGAGGTTATGATCAAGTCCAAATTCTTGTGCTAACAATGCATGCAGGACTAAGAGGGATAATCTAAGAATAAAGAATGTCATTTAAACAAAATGTCTCCTTATATTTTTGTAGAATTCAAATTGGAACATTTTATCCACTCCTAACACACAAGGGTGTGTGGCATATTAGAACCAATGGAACTGTATAGTATTGGCTCTAGAGAGAGCACAGAAGGATTACATCAAAGTCTTTGTGGAGGAATGTGTTTAGATAAAAAGATTCCCTTAGGTGGAACTCATATATATCCCCACATTGCTCCTTTAGTAATTACTATCCTTAAAGGAGAGATGTATAAGCAAGTGTTTTGTTGGGTTGTTTTTTTTTCTTAAATGTTTTATTGTGAATTATGTGATAGTATACATGGGAGAACATTAATTTTACATTCATTCTATTGTATATCGTCTCATTGC